CTGTAGTAGGGCTATATAGACCAATTATATTTGATTTCGATTTGTTTGCGATTTAATTTACATTTTCCAATTGATATAAAAATGGTACAGTACAATAGCGCCTACATAGGCAATCAAAAGTATCTATAATATGTGGGTACAGGTGGGGGTGGTAGAGAGGGGAATGGGTAGATAGTTGGACAGGCAGCGGGCTTGAGCTGCTTGAGAGCTCACTTGGATAGGCCTCAGTTCAGGTGAGCTGTCTCCAGTGTACAGCCTGCCCCTCCTCACTCTCCCCACGCTATACTGTATGAAGTATAGCGCTGGAATCGCCTATTTCTACGCTTTCAGCTGATATATATTTTATATAGCATACAAATACATATTTTAATCAAGATAAATTCAAAATTTAATATATTTGGTGAATCTAGAGCCTGTACTGTAGGAGGCCCATTGGGAGAGTGATAGATCTGGTATAGTAGATGATAATAAACATGTATATGACAAAATGGAGTATACCTGAAGCAAGGAGAGGTCAGGAAGTAGGTAGGGATGATGGGGAGGAGGAGAGGGGGTGGTGTACAGGTGATACCAAGCCAGCGGATAGCGGCGGAAGCCCGGCGACCACACAGGCGTATAGCCAGGGTCCCAAAGCAGGCTTCCACCGCGGGGATTAGCGCGGGGATCCCAAATGCGGCGGGCGCATTTTTGGGAAGGTGAGGAGGAGGAGGGGAGGGTATATGCGCCGGCGCTCGAGAGCGCGGCCGCGCGGGGCTAAGCGGACCACACCATCGTGTTCGGCGTACTCGAGAGCCCCTATACCGAGCCCTACAGGCCGGGAGGGGAGGAAGCGCGCGAACGGTGGGGGGAGGAGGGAAAGGAGGGGGAGCGGAACGGTGCGCGGGCCGCAGCGCCAGAACGGCTACAGCTACGGACCTGGTAAGTAGCTAGATCGATTCGCACGACCCGAAAGCAGGTACGTGCAAATCGGCGTAGCGATCCTACCGTGGGAAGGGGAAGCGCCAGCTGGCTGCCCTGCTAGCTGGCAATCCCCCCCCTTCCCCGGCCCATAACTCGAGAACTAACGCACCTATGAAAAAGCTGAATACAGCGTTCGATTCGCATTGAAAAATGCGCCATTTTGACTCCCTGACCGCCCCAAACCATCGAGGTTGATGGAGGGGGGTAGGGCCAGTGGCTGGCTGGGGGCGGGATTGATGCCATCAAATGGCACCGACGGGCGGCGGGCGGGCGGGGAATTGATGGCGACGAGCAAAAGGTGTGAGCACGAGGCAGGAGAAGTACACGAGGCTCGCAGGAGAGCTCGGAATGATGGCTCCGAGGGCCATTTTGATGGGAAACATCAAATGTCCATCAATTCAGCAGTATAATCTAGTATCCTACATCATACGCTGACCCTGCTTGGTAAGACGCTTCCCATTTAGGCAACTCGGGTTCCCCTACAGCCTCAATTGAAGGCGGATCGCATTGGACCTGCATTGGGGACCCCGAGAATGCTTCAATTGAAGAGTACGCTGACTATTTCAGGGAATACCACTCCTCAGAGTCAACACGTCTCTTCCTCGCCTGGCGCTTTTGCCCCCCTGTACCAGGCCTCTTCGCTCCTGAACTCACGAGACTCTCTGCATCGCGCATGGTGAGCTGAACACCACCTTTGGTCGAACGCTTCGCCTTCTTGGAGCTCTTGGAATCGGCGTCACCGTTATTTGGGTCGGCGTCATCGTTAGCGGCGGTCTTCGGCGGTAGCCGCTGGCGCTTGCGGCTTTCCCCTGCTCGGGAGCGGGAGATTGCACCCAGTAACAGAGTGCGTGGGGCCTTGTCTTTCGTCTTCGCCAGACATCGATCCTTGAATAGCGAAGCCTGGTACGCATCCGCCTGCCTAACCTTCTCCACGTCGCTGTCCGAAGTCGCCATATCATCCACGCTCTGATCCTCTACGTCTCCCGTTTGCGATACGGTGTCGTGCTCGAACGCCCCCGCGTTCCAGGTGCCATCGTCATTTTCAGGAATGGGCGGTGGACTCTCGCTCAGTCCTTGGCGACGCATAGCGTATACAGAAGATGTTGTCTCAGGGCTCGTATCGCGCAAGGGAATCGTTTGCGGCCACGCCGCGGACTGCCCGGCGTACTCCAGTTCGTCATCATCCAATATTCCTGCCCCAAACACGTCCTCCGCGTCTTCTCCCGTCGACCCAACATCCGCATTCCGCCATGCGCTCGCCGCACCTCCTTTGAAAGGATGGTAAGATGATGCGTGTTTCTTCAATTCGTTCACACCCGTACTGGCGGCGTCCGTTCCTGCTCCGCTTCTATCCACGCCCTTCCCCTTGTCAACCCGAGTGCCAGTCATACTCGCGTCGTCCATCTGTAGCCGCCAATCAGCCCCGTACAACAGTACGACGAGTTACGCCAGACTGACCGTGTCGTGACGCAATCCTCCATCCGATTCTCCCAACGGGCCATATCCCGCAACAGTACCCGTCGACTGACCGCCTTGTCCGCGAGCCTGGAACAAGTAAGCGTCAGCATACAGTGCGGACAAGTCTCGCCGTAGACGATCTTCACTCACGGAGTCCGAGGCTGCCCCCTCCACCCATTCCTCCATCTCTTCTTTTCGCACTAAGCGCATCGGTTCACGCTCGAGGTTCTACGTGAGCGTTAGACGTGGAATCCGCCGCTCAGACTTCTCGCAAACGCACCAATCTCGCGGTCAAATCCTCCATTGAAAGATCTCCGTCGGCATCCAGCTTGACCTGAGATCCTGTCGCAGGTGCGCCCTTGGGGTACTCGCCCGTCATCGAGTCCCTCGCATACTGAGACATGAGAATCTTTGTCTCGCTCATCGACCGAGCAACAAGGTTCTCTAGCGTCTGAGCGCCGGGTTTGCTGTGGCCCGCAGCGAACAAACTGCAGAACGACATTAAAAAGGCAGGTACATGCTGGACGATAATCTCACATACGTCTGAGCATCCGGTATACCATTGTCATTCACGCCGGCGATTGTGAGAGCAAGCGCGACGCCGAACCGAGTCGCGACCCACGACAAAAGAGCCTTCAAGAAGCTGCTCGCTTCAGGCAATACCCTATGGTGTTCCCGTTAGAGACGATATGTGGCCATTATCCATATACGCTTACCATGCGCGCGGGAACCCTGGCATATCCAGCGGACTCCCCCACAGAGCATTGTACTTTTTCATATCTTCTTGGCGAACCTCGTCCATTTTCTGCCGCACCACCGCTTTGACCTGCTCCGTCTCCCGCTCGTACATCTGGCTCGCAAATGCCCGCTCATATCCACCCTTCCCCTTCTTCAGCGCCGCCAATTTCATTTCGTCCCCCGCCGCCGCTGCCTCCCTGTCCTTGATCGCGTCCTCGAGCGCACTGGCATAACGGGTCCGATAGAACTTCTGATATATGTCCAGTTCCTTGGGAGGGGCAGGCGGGGGATCGAACGCGTCGACAACGCGCTGGATATGCTTTGAGGACAGACGTGCAGGTCCGCTTCCACCCTGTTTCGCCTGGTGGCGCTTCCTTTTGTAGAAGGCCCGGACCGACTGTGTGTGTATCAGTGAGTTGAATCGAAGGGCAAAGCGGGTGATCTCACGTTGACCAAGCCAGCAATCACTGTGTCGCGACGCAGTTCCAGGGCAGGATCGCCTAGCGGTGGCATGTCCGCAGCCGCCGGGATTTGCGCAAACTCTACATTAACCCAATCCGTAGGAGACGCGCTGTCTCCTAGAGGATCTTCAACGCCGAAAGCGAGTACGGTCGCTCGCGCGATCTTGAGATAGCAGTCCTGCTGGTAGGCGTTGTTCGTTTGCGTCTGTCTCCCTTTCGGCGGCTGGGTCTGGTCTAAGAAACGGAGCATGAAGTCCTCCTGAGCGCCGTGGATTTCTGCTTCCTTCGGCATTGTTGTACGGGGCACAAGGACAGATACGCGCGAGTTGGCTTGGACGTCGAAGACAACCAGCCGTTGCCGTGAATTCTGGGGCGACGTCAACCGGATTCGGACGTGTCGGCTTAACGCCAGTCGAAGACTCTTCCGTGTGGGCCGGCCGTACGGAACGTCGTCGCCTCGTCCAAGGCACCCCACGCCTCGATCGCGTCAAGGCCGATGCGCCTGCCCTGCTTGTCCACGACTGAGTAAGTGTCCATCCTTTCAATAGCACAGGAATTACGCACTATTCACGTTTGCTGACGAGCACCCTGCCAGTTCCATCCCTGCGTTGAGAAAGCCACGAGAACCAAACGTCTCGGGTGAAGGTCGTCTTGAGCGGAAGCAACTGCACCATCAAGCTTGGTGCCACATGAGCCGAAGTGGCCCGCCGGATCGCGTGATGGCCAACTGTATAACATACCAAAGTAGAATACCATCCAATCCAGTACGGCCTCGCCGCACACTACCAGCGTTCTAGCAAGCAGTCGAGGTGGTGTGAGCGTATTCTGCCGCGCCGCGTGCGCACACACACAATCAATCGAATCCGCACTGAGTACTGAAACGGTGCAGGGAGTTATGGTTATATAGTATCCCCAGCGTCCAATGGGACCATGCCTGGGGAAAAGACGTTCAGATTAAAGCAGCCTCGTCATTGTCAGAAGGAAGTGTAGCGCTGGCAGTACCGTGCTTCTGCCTTTGCTTCGTCTCACGCTCGGCGCCCGCCTTGATGGCCACGTTCGTTTGACCCACGCGCTATCTTATATACACCTAGTACGGCGAAGAACGACATGTTATACAGATACAGCGAAATACTACACGGCGTTCAAGCGGCATGATTACTAGTTCCACTTTTGACACACGGCGCAGAACTCGGCACCACCCGGGCGCACGCATTGAACATGCTCCAGCACCAGGCGTCCGGCCAAACTATGACCCTCAGACACGAGATCTTCGGACATACAGAATCCACCACGTATCTCGAGGCATTCTAAAGCCTCGTCGGTGACCGCGCGTGAGTTCAGCATCTCCAGCGCCGCCGCGACGATCTTCTGCGGCTCCTCTTGACTGGGACCAATGTAGCGACCGTTGATGTACTCCCCAACGGGTCTGCTAAAGGGCGCCGCGCAGATGATGATCAACCGTTGCAAACCGGGGAGCGTCGTTGGGTCGGCGAGTATGTTCAACAAGTCGAAACGCGATGAGCTCAACCACGAGTAGTCGAAGATCATGCAGCTGACAGTATCGTACTGGCGCAGTACCTGGCGAAGCGCATGCTTGTCTTCGTCGCCAAAGCCCCAGCCCAGGGCTCGAAAGTTGTCGTCCCGCACGCGTATATGCACCGGTTTGAGGAACATGAGACCGGAGAGCATCCGCGCGAGCCCAAAGATTGCAGAGTCGTGACGCTCGTCGTGAGCATGCGCCTGGGGCCACTCGTTACTCTCTCCATCGGCCATGATGAACGCCAGCCCACTCTGGCCGACGCGCGCCAAACAGCGGATACCCCTTCCTCCCGGCCCAATGTCCAAATCCGTCTCCACTGCATCTATGTCCTCGATGCCCATGGATTCTAAGGCGGCACGAGCAACCCGCGTCAACAAGAAGCCGTTGTGACGCGCTGGAGGGAGCTCATACGCTCGAGTGAGCTCCTCGATGGCCTGGCGCGCGGCGGATTCCACCAGCGGCCATGATGGCATCTCCGTAAGGCCTTCCGTGACACCCCAGCCCCACTGTCTCACGGGAAAGCCATCGATGTCGTTTAATCTGCGCGCAATGATATGGTGCCCAACGGCTCGTAGAGCGCGTTGTGCGTCCAACAAAGCGGTGCACAGAGCGGCTGATGCAGTCGTCGCCGAAGTCGCAGCGACGCTTTGGCGGATTTGTTCGCGTACGTCATCGAGAACTTGGTGGACAGGCGCCGCGGGCATGTCGCAGAACATCTCGAGGTACCTCAGCCCTTTCGTTGTGATACTCTGGAGCAGAGTGCACGTCTCCTCGGACATGACACCCGCGAGGTGGATGGTGTGCGCGCGAGCCAGTGTGAGGGGCAGGTCGACGTGAGGAGATGCGTGTAAAGCGGGGCGCCGGTGCAGATCGTATTCGGCCCGGCCGCGGATATGCAATTTCTCGACGTTTGGGAGCCCAGCAAGTATGCAGACTGCTTCCTCCACGTCGACATTGAACATCTTGGCGAAGCGGACGTTGGGCCCGGACAGCCATGCAGGTCCAGGGATATCGAGCGTTGACAGTGCGGGAAACGCGAGTCGTTCGCCAGAGGCGTCCATGCCCGTGACTTGGTCGTACGAAGCGCCAATACGGAGGAAAGATAGACGGTCTCGGCGCACGTTGCGAAGAAGCTCCGTCAAGTCCATACGCTGCATATCCTGGAGGTTCTCCAGCACCAGACGAACGAGAGAGACCTCGGCAAGACCCGAAAGCGTGTGCTCGATTTGAGCGACGGTGCAGAACCGGATGGCAAGACGGCGTAGGTTCGGAGCTTTGAGGAGTGGCACCGGGCAAGAGAGCTCGCAAATATACATGAGCGGCGCATCAAGGACTCCGTCGAAAGACTTTTGAGGCACAAACCGCAACCCTTTCGTATCCGGACGCAGGATGAGTACCTCTAGAAGCGGTAGGCGTCGCGTCAAAACTCTGGCAAAGTTCCGCCATGGACAGTCTGGCCCAGCATATACGGCCGTTGCGCGATCAAGCAAGGAATCCGTTGTCGCCTTGGGGATGCCCTTCGTATATGCAAGCCGCAGGTTAGCTCCGCGGGCTCGTTGCAGCAGGAGAGAGAGAGTTCTCTCGTTATGCGCCGAGGGTACGAGTGCACCCCAGATGTAACCCATCCCCATCAACGTATCGTGCCATAGCTGGCAGGTGCAAAGGATATGCGCCACGGCTCGTAACGCCTCCCCACCATCGTTGTTGGGCCGCCAGAAGCTGCCTACAGCTAAGACGTTGGGAGGAGGGATCACACGCTCCAGTACGTCGGCGAACAAGAAGAACTGGCCAGCCAGCAGTCGGTTGTGGCCATTGAGGGGCAAGACTGTGCGCATTTAAGTCAAGGGTGTATGCGCACGATAGGGAAGAGGTTTAATCACCTCGCGGGATGACGGTCGACACCGCGCCTTCGACGTTGGCCTCCACATGGTCGTCCGATCGGAACCGCCAGCCCCGCCAGCGCTTAGACACAGCCCAGCCCAGATCATCATCCTCATAGATGCAGACACCGTTACCGCTAGGACTGGGGCCATACGCCCAGCCGCGCTCAGCGGCATCGTCTGACTCGTCCGCACCCCAGCCCGCCCCGTTCGCAACGCTGATTGAAGTTCAGTCATTTGCCATATGTATGATGTATACGAGAACTCACACTTGCGCCTCGTCCTCGGGATCGGACGGCTCCCAGCCCGCAAGTAAGATCGGCTCCGGTGAAGCATTCTCGGACGCCGCCGACTCGCTATCTTCTCCGCTATCCAGATCCTCGACGCTGCCGTCCGATTCAATACTAGTGGACATTAGCCTGACATCGACTAGTACTGGTAATGACCTACCTGTGGTCCGACTCCCCAGAATGCCAGTCCACCTGTTCGTGAGCGTCTGCCATGAGCGTCGAGCGTTGATGGTCGGAAAGAACAGACAAGAGGTGCCGGTGAACGATTGCGACTTGAGCTAGCAAAATTGGAGAGCGATCGAGTTAACGTGCCTGCCAAATGCCGTCCTGACTCGTTAGTTCCAGCGCGTTCGCTACTGTCCCGGGCCTGAGCCCGGCATATCTGAGTCTGTAACCGGACGTTCATATTAAGAATGCCGTCCCAGTAATTCCACACAACCCGTACTTCAACTGGAGCTGTAGACGAAGACGTTGGAGGACCAGGCACTGCGACTTCCGCAGCGGAATGTTGCGCATACGGCAGGCTCGCACCGAGACCGGGACATTATCTTTGCTCGCGCCTCGCCGCATGCTCCGCTGAGGCACCCGCGATGCGCAGCGCAAGCCCAAGCTCGACCACGAAGCAGGACTCTAATTCGGATGGACGGGAGCCTGGCGCATAAGAGAGTGGACATTCAATTTCTTAGTGGAGGTTGGGAACAAGCGGTCGTTGTTATACTTCTGTTTATATACAGAACGTTGACTTCCTATTCTCACACGCCCTGTTGCTTACGACGTTCATCCCCGTCCGATACGCTTCCGCTCCTGGTTCTCCGCCTCTTGGGCGACATGATGCCGGCCCTCCGTGGATGTACCTGAACGTTCTCTTTAAATGGCGAGGTACCGCCTGCATGGCTCACGCTCCCGACCAAGATGTCTGGACGCCTCTTGCAGTACGCACCTGCGGACTTCGCTCGTGTCCTGCAGGGTATTCCCGTTGCCCTGCCCGGCCAAGACGTTCCTGACGAGGTTGACAATGCACGGATGTTCGCAGTGCGTCTATCTCTGAGTTAGACGACATAGCAATTACTGATATCCTCCGCAGATTGCCAGTTTCATCTATGCAGCACTTGATAGCCGCTCGGTGGAGTGGTCTGATTACACCAGTGCCTCGAGCGCGTATCTGGCTGCTACTGCGACTTCCCACTCCCTCGAGTCGCCCGATGCCCACATACCGTCATACATACGTGCAGACGAGAGGTCTCAAAATGGTATTGCGCACTCGCGCCTGGCTGCCGCCGTCAAAGCAGCTCTTCCGTCGGTGGCGGATGTACGTGCACGCCCCTCCAGTACCCTCCCTGAGATGGGAGTCTGGTCGTGTAGCGAGAGCGATTGTGGTCATGTCATCGACCCTTGGGATCTCACCGTCGCTGAGTGCGAGATCATCGGGTCGTATATGGGCGTGGGCGCTGATTCTGGTATTGTGGTCCGCGCGGACGGTGGTGCCGAGTTGAATCGCCAGAATCCCTGGCAGGTTATGCGCTGCATCGACTGTCTGGGATGGAGTCACTTTGCCTGGCATCTTAACGCCCACTGTATCGTCTTCTGGTGGCCGGACCCCACTCGCGCTTACAAGGTCAGCCGGCCACTTGGGATCACCGTTATAGATGGCCGTTGACATAATCCAGTCTGAACCAGGTCTCTGGTGGAACGAAGAACGGCTATGCACGCATCAGGCGCACAGACAGTTACGCGAGCAGCTCGAGGCCGACGAGCTTGCTGACCAACAGAACATTCGCAAGTGGAAGTGTAAGATGGCGCTCACACACGCGAAGAAAGGGCTACATGCCGTGCGCTTTCATTTGACGAAGTGGCGCCGCGACGCCATGCTTGCGCGGGAGACTCTCGTCAGAGAGATGTTTCAAGCCGGACGTAGCATTGTGGATACGGGGCTTGCGCTGGTGCATCGTATGGATGTTGAGCGCACCAATACAGATCGCGTACGCCTACAGGAGGAGCGCGAGCGGCACAAGGAGATGATGCGGGAGTGGACGTCTCGCCGGGAGCGTTGGTCTCAGATGTAGTTACGTACCTGGCAAATGAATCTGTATCCGGTTTGCGTACATAACTGCTAGCATGCGTGTTGTTCCATAAAGAGTTTCTGCGGCGTAATTGCTTGTCAAGGGCGATCACCAAAGTTTGTAGACGCGCCTGACTTGTTTCTTGCCCCCGACGTCGACCCCACCCATGGACGAACCCATGAACGACGATCCCCCGTTCACTCTCGCCTCGGATTCACCTGGTACATGGGCAAAGGTTGTGAGTACCGGGAACGCGGCCCCTTGCGCAGATCATTGACCTCAGTGACCAGGCCGACCTTACTCTTCGGCATATCGCGCGCATCCGAGTCCCGCCCACGCATCCAGACGACTTGCGTAGTGATAACAAGGCCCCAGCAATGCTCTCTCAACGACCGTCCTTGCCCGTTCATCAATCCATTGTGTCGCAGGAAGCACACATACCGTTCTTCGTCCGGAAGCCAAGAACGGTGGCGTATGTCCGGGAAGCGATTGAGCGCGTCTCAGTGCATTTGTCAAGGCGGCCCTCCGAGTTTCTCATTGGCGATACGAACCGCTGGGCGTGCCCAGGCCCTACATGCGCGTATACTGTCCAACTGGAAGATCTTTCGAGCGCGCAAATGGAGGTTATCGGGCGAATTGCGAACGGTCTACATCGCGCCTGGACCTCGGACGTCGGCAAGCTCCATATCGCGGTGCGGGAATACTGGCGGGAGGTGGTGGATATCGTGGCGCTGGCTCACTATGAGGAGGTCCACCTCCACGGGTTGGGCATTAAGCATGTCATTCGCGGCCAAGGCGACGATGGACGTGTGAGCAGACCGCTGCTGTTTATCGCGGAGTATTACTTATTCAACATGGCAGCTCGAATACTTCTGGGAATTTCGGGACTGGAAGGCGGCGCTTGAGCTCCAAAACTATCGAGGAGTGCGTGCGCGAATCGCAGAGAGTAGATCGCGTAGCAACATGCAGCGTGCGTTGGGCTTCGAGGCGCGTGCCTGGGCATCGGACGTGCTCTCGCAAGTACAACAAGAGGAGTGCGACGCGCGTGCCAGTGCCCGTGAGCAGCAATCGGATTTCGTCCGCGACGAGTATGACGAGCACCTGAACCTCGAGCTCAACCGCGCAGACAGCCTATTTGAGCCTCGTGGTGTACTGTTCGCAGGCCACGGCTCGACCACCAGAGAAGTGCAAAGGCCTATTCGAGCACTGAGGCGCCTGCACGAGTACATATACGGACAACAACCGACGCCCAACGTCGAGGAATCGCGCGCAGAGCGACGGGCTGGCGCTGAAGCGGAGCTGCTGCGATGGGCCGTGGATGGGAATCACTAGTAGCCAAATGTAGCGTAGATTAGCGTAGATCTGGTGCATATGTCACCTCAATGTTGCATGAGAACGAATGCTAGCCTTCCGTCAAAACGAACGCGAACGCGAACGAAGTCGCATCAAGGAGCGGCCCGAAAGCCGGTCGGCCTTATTAGCTTGGATGGGCGTCTCTGCTACTTCCTTCTTGACATGATTGTCAACAGCGCCTGTGTGGCGAACGTTGATAGACCTACAACGCACGGAACTCTGCTCCTTCCCCCGGGGTGTGCGTGTGTCGGGTGTGCCGTGCGGCGGCGGACTACCTTCTGTTTCAGCGGTATGCATTCCGAATTTGCTTGCGAAGACTCTTGTCGGTAGCGGAACGCTCTTGTCTGCGGCGTATGCATCACCCTTGTAACCGCCAATGTAACACCGATGTCAAAGACACGACGGACGGCTTGGTACGTGGAGACGGAACCAACTGACGTATGACTTGCGAGCCTGCAACGCGGAAACCGGCGTACAGGGGCCTCAGGTCGTCTTTGGCTCTTACTCCCTCGGCGCAGCTCTCGTTTCCTATGTCTGAGCTGCCCACGGGGGCGGGCATCCCCCTGCCACGTACCGGTAGGCGCGGCCACCGTGCTCGAAGCCATACAGGCTATCACGAACAGACTGCCTCTCAAAGCGTCGATGTATCCATCGATGCCGGCGGTCACTCTACGTCGACGACAAGCCAGTTTCTCGTACCCGCAACACCGCTTGAAATGCTAGAACCCACTTTGCAGGCCACTGCCGGTCCGAGTGGCGTCGAGAACGGATCAGCGACAAACTCGGCTGCGGAAGACGAGGACAACGCTGCAGAAGGGGCTGAGGCCGCGCCGACCCCTGAAACCGAGAAATCGTACAAGGTTAGTCGTCAGGCGTTATGGCCAGTCAAACGGAGGTACTCACTGCAAGTTCAGAATCGTCCTCTGTTACACTGGCTGCCTCATCGACTGGGGTTCGTTCGGGCGTTTTTGAGACTGGACGGTCGTCCGCGCGATGTTGTCCAGGGAAAGGTCAAGGGCTGCGGTCGAGAAGGATGCGCTCGCGCACATACGCCGATGACCGGAATATACCGATGTGTTTCTTCCGATTGCATGGCATGCACTTGGTGGTGTGGGCCATGCATACTCGAGCGGCATAAGGATCGACCGCTAGACCGAATCGAGGTAGGTAACTGTCCAACCCGTGGGCGCACGTCTTCGACCTTCTTGTCCTGATGGATCCTTTCCACAGATCTGGATGAACGGCGAATGGCAGAAGAGCACGTTGCGCGCGATCGGCCTTCAGTTGTTCATCGGTCACTGGGACGGAACACACTGCAGGCTCCCTCGCGCGCCTGTCAAGCACTTCGTCGTCGTCCATACGAATGGGATTCATGAAGTGGACGTGCGTTTCTGCGGCTGTTCCACGGAACTAGTACCCGTGCGAGATCAACTGATGTCAGTGCATTGGTTCCCGGCCACCGCCGAGAAACCTCGCATGGCGGCAACGTTCGACGTATTAGAACAGTTTGACGCGAATTGTGGCGCGGGCAAGCAAAACGCGTACGATTTCTACCGCGCACTCGAGCATCTGACGGACGGGGCGGGGTTGCAACACTTACCGGTGCGAATAGAGGTACTGAACCCACAGTCGTGATAACTGATGAGGTCCGTGTTTGGCGATATAGGATCGTTCAAAGGACTTCTTTCGCATGGCGCACGAGTATCGCCACATCCTGGCTCTGAAGAGAGGCGGGCGGGGTCACGACGCTGCAACTGCAAAAGATCATGATCCGATCAAGAGTACTGCGTACGGCGAGCTTGCAGTGCTCTGCCCTGCCTGTCCGCACGAAGGGATCAATACAGGTGTTGTGGACAAGATGCGTCTCCTGTCTCCTGAATTGGCAGATGCCGCGCCGTGAGTGGATGTTGCACACGGCCGCACGAGGCACCGAATGCTGAATATATACGTATAGGCTGTTCAACGAGCTGGTTCAGCTTTCAATGGACTGTAACTTCAGGGCGAAGAACAGAATGACGCGCTCGACACCGGAGTCCAGTCCGTACCTTGGGGATGGTATGGCTTACATGGTGCCCGAGAGTCCGTACGAAGATTACACGCGCGACTGTGCAAACGATCAAGAGGTACGCGCGGCGAGCTATCTATACCGGGCTAGCGTGTTTCTCATAAAGATACAGCTTAGCAGCTGCTCGCGCTTCGGGGCGAATATCCTTGCGAATCTCAAGTCGGGTAAGGGCTTGAGGACTACCGGCGTGGGAGCCGTCTTCTGCGCCCGCCACGAGTTCTTTTGGCCAAATTCTGTCGGTACGCTTGTCAAGGGTGAAAGGTGAATTAGCATCTTCTTGTAGCCGTAGAGAGCCGCTTGTTAACGCCGCCTACAGATACAGCACGATGGATTTCATATTATCTGCGGCGGTACGGCGTGTCAGAGCCCCGAGTCTTCATCTTTACTACGACATCGTGTGCCAATATCACCGCAACCTGAACGTACGCATGCTCGAGGCGCAACCCAAATCCTTCATCGGCGTAGGCGCAAAGAAACTGTTGCACCAGATTAACGTCAGCTTCGGGATCCCCAAGTTTCACAATCCGGGTCACCTCGTCATGTGCCAGCTATGGTTCAACCTGGCGTACCTGCGTGCAACAGGGCAGACAGACGGCGAAGCTTCGGAAAGAGCGTGGGCCGGTCTGAATCCAGCAGCCTCAAGTCTACGAGAGATGGGTCCGGGAGCCATGCGTGACACTATCGATTTCTTCTGCAGCGTATGGAACTGGCGGAAGTTCGTGAATATGGGTAAGAACGCACGGTTTTCAGCAGAACGGAGGACTGACCGGTGACCGTAGGTGGCTTCCTGTTGAAGAAGCTGGCCGTGGCGTTTAAGGAAGCGCGCGAGCACGCCGAGATATACACGGGCATGGAGAAGATGGTCCGAAAGGAGAACTCCGCGACTGCGGATGCGTGGATTGCTGGGCCGGTGAAGTGGGAAACGCGCAACGCTTTAGACGCGATGGGGAAGCAAATCACCGAAGGACCAGATGTCGTCCCCAACCCGTACGAGTCGCAAGCGAAGAGTGAGCAGTCCCGCATTTGACGGCGCATTCCTGCTGACGCCAGAATTCAGAGCAGTCTCTTAACAAAGCGCGCTTAGTGAGTGCCCAGCTTGCGGCGCAGGCCGAGAAGGAAGCCGCAGAGAAGCAGGCGGAGCGGCTTGCATCAGGCGCCGAGACGGAAGCGGACGGTAACTCAAAGCCCGAAGCGGAAGGCAAGGCGGCTCAAGCGGCGGCGACGACGAACTTCCTGATGCGAGGTTTGAAGATAGAGGTTCTACAGTACGTGCTGTCAACGCGAACGGAGAGACATTACTGACTGCTTGCGTTTAGAGTGCGCGCGCGGCGGAGAAAGGCGACTCAAACGATCCTACAGACTGCTGAGCGGATAGAGCAACGCACAGCGCTTGAGCGCGAGCTGCGTCTGTTCCGGAAGGACCAACAGTGGATGATGCCGCTTGTGTTCGCCGCTGTGCAAGAGCTTGAGGGTGTCGAATCTAGAACTCGAGGCGATGGCGAGGACGAAGACGAGGACGAGATGGCGGCGGAGGAGAAAGAGGCAGCGGCAGCGGTGTTGTTCCTGCCTTCCGAGCTCGACAAAGAGCTAGCTCGAACGGCACCCATTCTTGACGTCATGCTCAAAGAGCTCGATATACGCCTCGCCGGCATGGAAGATTGGCTGGACGCCCTGCGCCAGCAACTCCGGGTGCGCGGGACGGTTTCGCAATGGAAGATCTCCTACTCGGGAGGTCAGCGTATGGCCACGCGGACGATCAACAAACAACGCATCATCGAAGAGAACATCGTGGTCGCGCGAGAGATGTACACGCTCCATCGGGAGAGGTTTGTCAGGTTGTTGTCGTATCTGACGGATGAGGAGCGTGAAGCGCGCGTGCCGTCGGACTGGGATTACAACTTTCAGGAGCTTCTGGATAGCGACTGCCGTCCTCTGAATAACAGTTTGCTTCTAGCCATCGACGCAGTGGAAGTTCAGAACGCCAAGAAGCTGATCGCTGCGCGAAATGATGGTGTCGCGTCGGGCGCGAGTAGTTATCGCATCCCATGGATATGGTACAGGGTTGCAGAGGGTACGGAAATGGAGCTGAACGAGGGTAAGTTCCGGGCACCACGATAAATGTAGCGGAAGGACACTTACTTTTCTTACCCAGACATGCGTGTTGAGTTCGTTAAGTGCCGCGCGCGATCTATACGCTGGGTGGAGGAGGTGTACAAGATTGCGTACGAGATGATGCGGGTGCCAGCATTCTGCACGTCGAGATCGGGATGGTGGACGGCGAGGTCGAAGGTTCGCATTGACGATATCGACGAGGTCTTACAGGATGGGATGCAGGCATATGCGAGGAAGCAAGCGACAATGTTCCGACGGCACGCAGCGGGGCTGGAGGACGCTTTCGAGAGACCGCTCCAGGAGGTTGCGGACTTCGTGCGCGTTTTCGGGTTAGACGGGCTGATCAAGAGATCCTCGTCGTGATTGAATTTTAGACTACATGTATTTAGTCGTAAAGGTTGGAAGAAACCTGTACGAGGTAGAGAGTACAACTACACGATGCGGATACAGTATCATCATCATGTGACGGAACTACCATAAGATTGACGCGGAAGATAGGGCACTACGCCGGCTCAGACGGATAGAGCGTGGGCGCGCACTGTCGAAGGATACGCAAAGATGAGAACGTGTACAATGAGAGATTCGGATACGGGGGACTGACCGCACTAATCGAGGTAGGGAGGAGGCTGAGCGGCTCGGCGATCACGCTCGCGACACAAACGCTGCGCCTCTTGAGCTGGGGTAGAAGACTCCCCGGTTGCCTTACGACGCTCCTCGATGTCATAGGCAAGATTGAGAGCTCGGAATACGACCGGAGCGGTTGCTGGATTTCCCACATAGTGGTCGCCTTCTTTGTGCCACATGAGGTCATCCGGATCGTCTACATCGCCCTCATTGACTTTGCTAAGAATACTGGTCAGAACAAAGGAGTGGAGGACGAGCGAGCTTGAGTATTGTGACATACCGCCAGAAATATTCGGCTGCATCGCGATAGCGATCGATCGCCGCGGCGCTCAGCTTCTCGGTGTCGGCAAGATAAAACAAGACGAGCGCGAGGGCCTCCGCTCCAGTGCCCCAAGTAGCATGTACACCACGGCTAAAATCTCTGTAGGTTGCCCAATGGGGAGTGGTACGCGTGCGTAACCCCGAGGACTCGCGGAGTCGTTTGAGGTCTGCGTAGCTTTTGAAGATTTGTTGTGCTGTGCGGGATAGATGGAATGAAATGTGGACGTAGTCGTCCGGACAGTCGTCGTACATCATGATATACAGCCGATCCTGATACGGACGTGAGGGGACGGTGGAGGTGGCGGTAAAAGAGGATGTCCAGCGGAAGAGGGAGGGCTAGGTTGCCGTGCCTGGCTTTGGCGGCGCGGATCGGGCGCAGACGGGAGTATATGCAAAGGCGCTTGAAGTTCATGGCCCGAGCGCACGCATACTGTAGAAGACCGCAAATGTGAGTTGATAGGTGCTACTGCGAATCAAGTGGACTCTTACTGGGTACGGGATGGCTGAACGGTACTATCGACGACTGGTTCGAGGGCGGAAGTGGGGAGGAGCGGAAGCAGATATACGGTGGCATGCCGGGCCCTGCGGAAGACGGATTAGAAGGCAAAGGTTATGAAACTCCGGTGCCACAACTCGAGCTCAATATGAGGAGCGTGGGCAGGAGAGCCGTAGCTGAAGGCGATACGCGTCTACGCGGGGAGAACAGGCGTGACGGGCAGGTCGCTCGGTGGAGCCAGACGGTGCTCACACGTTATACGTGACAACACCGGAGTATGCAACACCGGAGTATGCGCATGCTCGAGGGTACAGATACGCGTAATCTTGTGAGTAGTGAGCACGATTCACAAGTGAGGAAGAACTGGAACGCAGCTATGTGGGATATTGTGCTGTTAGGAAAGGCAGACCAGATACAGAGGTGGTACGAGCAGCGCCGGGGGAGATGTAGTGACGAGGTGGACGCCGTCGAAGAGACGCGCTGCGGTGAGGAGACGCGGTGCTGTGAGAGTGAGAGTACAGTGGTTGACGCGGACCGCCATGGCCGCGAGAAGCACCGCCCGAGAGAAGTCCGAGAGAGGAAGTCCAGTAGAACTGTTTCCGTGAGGTGGCTGACAACTCAATCGCGAATGCTATGTTATCCTGTGCTGCCAGGAGGGTCCTACACTACTGAACGTTGGGTATTGTCGAGTGTTGGTTTACGTCGTGTGCTTGTACACGCGTGCTTGTACGCTGGTTGGGCTCGGTCTGCGTGCTCGCTTTGTGCGCTGGCCGCATATTGTCAAGGGCTTGCGACGTGGACGTGCAATGATAAGTGTTGGTCGCGTGCGCTATAGTTCACTGGCGTGGACTCAACTGAGCTTGTATACCGTGTCTTGGCTGCAGCGCACTTACCCAGCGATTGATTGGTCGTATGACATACGCGAGGCTCCTGGCTGCGTATCTCGTGTCCTTCTAAGCAGGTGTGTGGCAGGTATGACTTCAAAGGTGGCAATGAATGACGTTACTCAGATGGAGTGGAAGACTGGCAAGGCGAGTCGTTAACCGGCATGGTCGCGCCGTTCTTGTAGCCTACGTGTTGGCGCAGGCTGGCGCACGCAGGCGACTTACTGTGTTCGGCATGCTCGAGGTACGTTACACACGAGTCTTTTACCTAACCGCAATGTGATGAGTTCTGGAGGTTGGCTGTTTGCCGCTCATGTGCGTAGATGCGATGGGCTACATGATGCATGACATGTATTTCTGCGACTTGTTTCATAGCGTGATAGTGAGCGCCAGCAGTTTGAAGCAGAGAGCAATTTGCCGGCAAGAAAGACAGTATATATATACATGCATTTACTATTCGCTCTGCTCTCCGTGTCCCTCGCTCTGCTCTCCGTCTTCGGCCTCGCTCTGCTCTTCATCTTCGCTCTCGCTCTCCTCAACGCTTCCTGCATCCGGGTCAACAGCGTGCGTAAGAAGCACCTCCAGGGCGTGCGTGAATGCTCTGTATCGTTTGTAGAACGGGGCGGCGTCGCACCTCACACATCGCAAGTCATGGAATCGGCCGACACCTGTTAGCTGTCGTTCCCTCCTGGCCCAACGAGAGGCTTCCATGAAGGCTCCGTGCTGGAGTCTCACGAGGTGACGGAACTTCCATGCCTAGCTCATGAAGGTGAGGTAGAATAAAGGGTCAAAGCTGCGGTAAGATCTTACCTCTTCATCCGTGGAGAACGTCGGATGAGGCCCGTCGCGCACCCGCCAGAAGATGCTCAAATCCGCCGGAATCTGGGACTCGCGCCAGGGCTTACCAGGCAAATGTCAATATCGCATCCTACTGATGAAGTATGTAGCTTACCACGAATCGCTCGGCGCGTTTGTTCTTACCGGGCTCAGCACGACACCGCGTCAAACCAACTCGCGAGGTAGAGGGCATCGCCGGTAAGTTTTTGTAGGTGTCGTCAATGAGAGCGCGAATATCAGATGCCATTACTAGGGACTATGAGACTGGCGCGAGCGTTAGAGGAAGAATCGGTCTCACTGATATGCACTCGCTCGCCGCAGTGGTCAAGGCGCTCGTGGTGGTTAAGATTCAAGCCGGATCGAGAGCCGTCACTCAAGCGCGCGCGAACGCGTGGCAACGACGCCGACACGAGCCAGGCAACAACGCCGACTCAAGCGTACAGAGACGCGGGTCAACGACTCAAAACAAGCCAGGTCAATGCTGCTTCACGAAGTGTGAAGGCTGTAAACGGTAGGGACGTACATGCACGGCCAGTGAAGGGCGATATAGTAATCATATACCGACGGACTCGTACACTCACTATGAGTCAAGGTACTTGAGTACGCATGAGGGGACCGCCATACAGCATCTGTTAGGTCGGGCACATTACCCAAAAGTAAAGCGCGTCCAAAATCAAAGCGCGTTGATGCCATCAACTTTGCGAGCCTCGTGCTCGCACTAGCCGTTAGGGGCGTTCGGTTGGCACGAACCGATCCTCATGCTGTTGATTGCTGCAATGGTCCGTATTAGCATATGAACTTCGAGTGACGATCCGTCAAAGAGGGAGACTACATGGTCTGTATGATGATGGGCGCGACACCTGACGCGTGGGGCGCCGCTGGCATTGCCCGCCCGGTCGCTCGCGCCCGAGACATTGGCTTAAAAGACGAAATGCTGTGGGAGGGCCGCCGTTTTGAACCCCCACCGCTTCTCCACCGCAGTATGTCAGCTGAGCAGGGTAAAACTGAGGGCGATAGCGGCAAGTGCGAAGACGTCAGTGCTGCCGCACCAGGTGTGAGAGACGCGAGACATTCATTATGGACGTCAACGAAAACGCAGTGCGTATAGTCTCTGCAGAATGTCAGCGCAGTACAGTACTCTGACTTCGCTTGAAGAGAACGATTGTGCTCTGGCGAGCGGTGAGTTTGAGTGATACATACCGTCTCTCGCCGTCTGACAAGACAAGGTATGCGACGATGGATTATATCTTGATGCCGATGTTGCAAGAACGGAGGGCGATGAAGCCACCAGTTGGTACAGAAGAGTCTACGACCGCGGGTATGGCTGGAGAGGTATCTGGCGGACATGGGCATGTGGTAGGAGTCGTTCGCTTGCCTGCTGTTCGACGCTGAGACGGGCGTACTTGCCAGTCGTGTGCGAACTTCCCCGCAATGACTTTGAGCAACAAGGCCGGCTCTGCGAATCTTCACGGCGGCGTCAAGTCGATGTGCGACGAGTGCGAGAAAATCTCTGACAGTGCGTGAGTAGTAGGAGTTACTCGTCGGCACTGACAGACGATATCACACGTAGACAACGGCGGTGGGGGCCTGGATCCGCCCGCATTTAGCCCCGAAGCGTACGAGGCTTCGCGCAAGATGGACGAACGGTTCAGACTTAACATGCGTGGTGCCGGGACCAGTGGCGTCAGCTCCGTGGAGGGGGGGGGTGGCGCAGCCGCCGCTACTTCAGACGACGCGAGCGATGAGATACCGGATTTGGTGTCGGAGGAAGAATGACAGAGGGTCGTAGGGTTATTTGTATTGGGTTGAATAAATTGGGCGCATTCATATAATACTGGTCGATGCGTACGAACGAGGCGGAGACGCTGAGAATGAAGGAAAGGGGGCGCCACGGGCGGCGACATCGGGCGGTCGACGGGGGCGTCGGCGGCGGACGGACGGCGCCCGCTTGTGACGGCGGGGCGCAGAGATGACGTGTTGAGGTTTTTGATGGGCAGGCACTTAGGGTTAGGCAACCGGAAACCGAAATGTGAGCCAGATTTACGCGCCGGATTAAACTGGAAAAGAAACTAGGTTTCGCGCTTTATATCGGACCCCGGTACTCGATACAAGCTTGTACATGTTGCATACATTCAAGCCACTGTAGAGCAGTGGTTAAATGGTCTGACTGACTAAGGAGGATGAAGGAAATGCGGAGCTGCCGAGTTCAATTCCTGCTGGGGTCCCCGTGTTTTTGAATTTACTTAAAGAGGCCTTTTTTTAAAAGGCCGAGCCAGATCGGGGGTTACAACCGAAAAGGGGGGTTGCAACCTCAAACACCATCTTTGCCTCTGGGTTAGAACCCATAAGCTACGGGTAGTGTCATGCTTATCCGAAGCATGCGTGTACGCTGGAACAGCATACTCGCAGAGCTACAGCGAGCCAAGCTGTTGCGCCCTGTGCGTTCTTTTGTCATTATCCTTGCGTCATATACTGATCTATCGCATACAGGCCATTGCCGCCTACCTGGAGTCGCTCCCGAATGGTTTGTCGGGCAAGAAGAAAACTGCCGCACTCACCAAGCAAAAGAAGTGGACGGTGTCGGTGTCGGGCTGGGAAATGATTGATACTATGATCGATATCTTGAAGGTACGCACTCTCCATCATCCATGACAGCTGCCGATAAACTGATTTCGAGCGGTTTTCAGCCGTTCGAGCAGGGCACCCGCGATCTTTCGATGTCTGGTGTGCCTACTCTTTGTATGGTGCTCCCGATATACAAGTCCCTTGAGGAGCACCTCAAAGCGCAAATTTCGGCGCTCACTGTGTCATTCGAGGACACCGAGGACGAGTTCAAGATCGTTAATGCCGTGAAGCTCGGGCTTGACAAGCTCTCCATCTACCTCGAGAAGGCGGTGAAATCAGACTATCACCTCCTCGCTGTCGGTAAGGAATTCGCCGCATTCATCTTTGGTGTCTAATACCAGCCCTTTTTCAGTACTCAACCCTCAACTGCGCTTACAGTACCTCGAGGACGATACACGTTGGGCACCAGAGGTTCCAGTTCGCGCTCGCTCGCTCATCGAGGACTTGTGCCAGCAATATTCAAAGAAGACGCCAGCTGCTTCTGCTCCCACTCAACGACCCTCTTAGACGACACCATCAGCTTCGTCTGCCACCTCGGGTAGCCTCTACATGAGGTCCGTACAGCGCCAGACGAGCTCGCAGGATGCCTCATCCCCGTCTTGGACCCTCGCCCTCGACTCGTACCTCAACGGAGCATACCCGTTTCCCGAAGACAAGGGTGTCGAATATATACTCTCTTGGTGGAGTGTACGTCCACTATGTCATTCTCCCTCTGCGCTCTCATGCTAACACCCGAATAGGCATACGGTAGCAAGTTCGCACCCCTCGATGCTATCGTGCGCGATATCCTCGCCATACACGGTGTAAGTGTGTCTGTCGAGCGGCTATTTTCTAGCAGCGGCCTCACACTACACGATAACCGTGCACGTCTGACTGCTGTGATGGCAGGGAAGACCATCATCACGAAGGAATGGTTGAAGCGAGGGTTCGGTGAAGGGGTTGACTACCTAGAGGGTGTGGCGATTTGGGAAAAGGACAGCGACGAGGAATCCGACTAAATTTGAATAAATATGTTAGAATATGACTACACTACAATACACTATGAGTATGACTAGATACTTCCTCTCCCCTGTATTCGTATTCCTAGAATAGGATAAGATACGCCCTCGGGCGTATTTAGTCATATCCGTCCATCCCTACCCGCCAGTGGAACGCGCGAGGACTGGCGAATTTCAAGAATATCCGCCGCGTCCTCCGCCCATGCCCTCCGTCCATCCCATCTCGCAGCCCTCGCCTACACTCCTCGATCTCAAGTACCAGGAGCTGAAGGACAAGGTTCGCGACGACACGAAGGCCGCCGCGAAGGACGTTCGCGAGTACATCGCGAGGACGTACGATGTCCAGACGGTGATTCCCCGTCATCAAGCTCTCATGACCGACATCGGCGCGGTGAAGACCGCCATCAACGGCCTACGCGATCAAACGCGCATCACCGCGTTGGAGGACCGCATGAAGAAGTTGGAGGAGGCGGTGGAACGGCAAGGGAAGGAGAGCGTGACAAAGCTCGACAACATCGCGGAGATGCTGTCCAAGTTCATCGAGGAGCAGAAGGGCGGATCGCCTACGCTGCGTTCCCAGGGCGTTCAGGCCGCCAACGTCGCACCGGACGAAGACGTGCAGATGGGTCCCTCAGCAGAAGAGGCGGCACAAGCAGTGCACGAGGCTCTGTCTGGGGGACCGCATAACACACCTGAGGCGTCGCAGACGGCCCAGGAATCCGCCCAGACGCCATCCCCGCCCGCATCATCGCCACTGTCAGCTACACTGGGTATAGCGATGCGCGCTGAGATGGCACAGGCCGCGCAAAGTCCTGTCGCATCCGCCGGATCTCCGCCTCCGCCGCCTCCGCGACAGACACGCGAATCTCCGTCTCCGCCGTCCCCGCGTCTGCAGCCTGAGCTGGAGATCCCACCGCCGGCATCTCCGCGCCAAGACGAGCATGCGGATGTTCAACCTCCGCCACCGACTCGCACGTCAAGTCCGCCGCGTCAGCCACAGGCCGAGCTGCAAATTGAGCTCGCCGAGACGAGGGCACGGCTCGTCAAGTCCACCCCGGAGGACGCTATTCCCCCGCGCGCCGCCATTCGCAGTCCCCCACCTGTGGTCTCCACACCCACGCCAGGGACTACCGCGACGCAGAACGAGTCGCGCGCGAGCTCTCCTGGGAGCGACCAACGCCCTCCTTTGCGTCTGTCCACGCTGGACAGCGACATGGACGTCGACAACGACGTGCCAGCGCCAGAGCCCGGTTCTGACTGGGCGGGCGAAGGCCAGCACGAGTCAGACGACGATCCGGACGCGGAGGGGAGCCTGGACGTCAACCTAGGGAAGTCGGGACGCCATCTGAAGGCCGCTGAGGACTCGGACGCAGAAGAGGAAGGCGTGCTTCCTCCGCCTCCCAAACCTCCTGTTCGGGCACTTCCGGTCGAACAGGAGATAGTGCCATCTTCACAGGCGGGGGAAACAGACGGCCATCACGCAGGGCAGGGCGAGAGACAGCACGGGACTACGTTGCGAGGGAGGACGCGGAGGTGGAGCTTCGCGCAGGCGCGGAGATCCGAGCGGAGAAGCAGGCGGAGAAGGCCGCGGCTGCGCTGGCGGATGCGGACACGGAGAGTCCGACGAAAAAGTCCGGCGGACGTAAAGGCTCTAAGCGAGGTGGGAAGGCCCCAGCTGTGCCCTCTAGTCCTGCAGGTGCGGGGAAGGCGACGTGTTCGAAGGGAAAGGCACCTGAACCCGGTGAGCTGCCTCCGACGCGTAAGCCGTGTGGCGCGCCCAAGGCCTAAGTCGTCTCTCTCTTCGTGCCCGGCTCTGTCTCCGATCGTCCCATCTCGCTGCCTGAACAATCTCTTTTTTTTCTTGCATCTCTTGTATCTGGTCTTTCTGAAACCCCACTCCCATCCCCTTATTAGCTTACATACCATTACCATTAATCTGTCGTACTCCGTATCTACTCATGATGAATGTCGCTCTTGCTTTGTAGTTGACAGGAGTGTATGAAATTAAGTTTGAGGCGGAAATGCTAATGTAAACTCAACACAGTCGCGGACATGCTGCCTCCGCCGGATGTCCGGCGGACATGCGAAACTGCAACATAACCTAAGCGGATCATTATCATCGTTGGAGATCTACCGTATCTACTGTTTATGCAGACCGTCGTGAATAACATCAGCGAGACAGTTATTGAAGCGCTTTTTGGCATACGCCACCATATCCATCCAATTGGAACAATACGACTCTGCCATTGCCTGGTGCCCAGTCGAATTTTGCATGGTACGTCCTCGCTTCTTCCAATGCCTTCCCAAACTGCGATATCCGAGATAGCACATCTGCATCTCAAAACAAAGGATGATCAGTTCCTCAGCGCATCGAGCTTGATTGCATTTCGCATTGATCCATCGTATTTTGAAGACTAATGAGTTGTCAGCTATCTCCATGTTGACAGACTAGTATAGTAAGCTCACACTCAGCAACGAACTCCTCGTCATCGGGCCTTGCCACTCCGGTCTCGTCGTCCGAGCCTTCTGGAATCATCCTCCAAAACCAAGGGAGTACGAAGTTCGGGCTTGTTCCTCGTATGCTGTACATGGCCGTAGAGCACACCAGATGGTCAGCTTCGAGAAATCGATAACGTGCGTGACAAGCATCTTTGTCGGCTTTACCCTCGACACTATCGTCCCAGTCAAGCTTACGAAGCTTGGAGGCACACATGTTGTAGATCTGGGCATGCAGGCGAACGGCTTTGCCTTGCTGTTGCACTTCTTCATACGCCCTCGCCGTTAGATGATGACCTCGAGTAGCGTTCCCTCCGCCGGACCTGATCTTTTGAAGATAGGTGTTAGCCTGATCGATGATCGTCGTCCGAACTTGTCCAAGCTCCTCCTCCATACGGGCAATGAGCAATTTCCCTTCTATCTCCATGGCGCGCATCCAAATGCTCTTCTCCACATCTGTGAGCCCCTCACGAACGGTACGCCAATCGCTACCTTGAGAGGATGGAAGGTCGATTGGTCTGAACTCCGCTGCACGACGGAGAGGCCGATCAGAGTTGTCGTGTTGCGGACCTCCGGCGGAGTTTCCCCATTCGTCCTCCTGCATCAACTTCAGCAATCGCACCTCCGCAAGTTCACCGGGGCCAGGCTTCGACCTCAGAGCGGCGGCCATGTCTGTATTGCATTTGTTGATGCGATTGTGCAGCTTTGTTCTGTTGCCTGCCAACGTTCTACAATCAGATGCTGTTGTCGCTTGCTTATCGAAGGCTTGCAACTTCAGCCTTTCAGTCATGTCAGGGTGAAATGGGCTGTTAATAAGATGTGGACATACTGATCCACTTGTGCATTGAGACTGCTGATGATGGCCTGAACTAGTCCGCCACCATGCATTAATGCCGATTCGTTCTCTAGGAGCTCTACCTCTGTATCCTTCCTCGATGGAACTGCCAAATCATGAGCATCAGTGCATATCATGTCAGGGTAGAAGAACGAAAGTCAAACTTTGGGTGAGTTCGGTACCAAATAGTTTGTCGGCCTCGAGTGGATCGGATATACGGAGGTGTTCGAACCTCTGTCTCTCCATCTCCCATCTTTCCTGATCAGCTGGTGACACACTGAGAGACAGTTTCTCCAGAAGTTTGTCTCGCTGAGCCATCTCAACCAGGTACTTGTTCCACTTCCTCGCCAACGTGTCAGCTGAAGAGAGTATTCATCAAGGTTGATCCTCTGAATCAAACAGTCGTACACACCCATATCCAGGGTCTTGCGAAGGTTGCTATCAGATTGAAACAAGGTGATGACTTCTTCACGATGGGCCAACGACATCCCCCTACAGGACTCGAGGATACTGTTCAGAATCGACCAAAGTGTCTCCAGGATCTCGCCATCCACAATTCCAGTGTGTCGAGCATACTGTGTCGAATATCGGCCGTAGCACTCGAAGACGTGACCAAAGATGTGCCAGACTCCAACTCCTCCCATGACCTCGGCAAAGTCAGGCCAAGCAAGATGCGGGCTTTTGTCGAACCGCTCGCGAAGATGTTTCCCATATTGGCACCAGATGTCGTACAAGATCTATATTCGCTTGATCCTCTCGGAGTCTGTGCACACTTCGAAGACTTTGCTTAGCGCAAGGTCCGCCGGACCCTGTCTGCAGGAGGTCAGATGTCCGTCGGAGTTGATGCGGAGACACATTTACCCTTCTCCGAGTTCATAGTTGCAAGTCCCACAGGCTGCAAACTGACCATGGCGAGCGCAAGCCCACGACCCGATACCCTTTATGTCCATAATCTTGTTTCTGCTCTTTCCGGTCACTGCGGCTGCCTGGTGCTTGTGACAAGGCTGGTCATTGGCAAACTTGCCAAAGAGGTCAGTGCATCGTTCCTCCCAACATAATGGTAACCTTCACTTACTAGATCAGGATTCTCTTTTTCAAGTTCCCTGTCGGTCATGTTCTTTTTCAAGGCTACCTTGACTTCGTCGGGGTGTTGAAAAGCACCTGTGCCAGGGAAGAGTGGCACATTGTTGCCAGGCTCTTTAGACATAGTATGCTGGGTGCTGAAATTTCCATCATGGACCCAGGAGAAGAAGATGGCCCATGAATGGGGGTCTCTCTCCCACAAAGGGGGGAGATTGTCCTTCGATGGGCACACAATACACTTGTGGAACAGTCCGCCTGGAGGTGGAGGAGACCAGTTGTCCAGAGCTTGATGAGCATAGCCGTGCACGATGAGGGCATCAACGGCTGTATACTGGCGCATGACCCTCAAATGCTCCCTGTAGCGATTCTGTTACAGGCAATGTTCAATAGACTAGATGCACAAGTGTGGAACAGACTCACCACGACTGTAGACGGATGTAGGGGGCGGGTGATCCGGCGGATCTTGCGCGCGATCGCTTGCGGAGACACCTTACACTCTAACCACTCGATCTGTTGGCAGGCGAGACCTTCTACCGAAAACGCCGTACGAGGGTTCTTGCTTGTCGCAGGGAATAAACCCCCGAACCGGAGCATCTGCTCATCGGGTTCCAGATGCTGCCCTTCTCTACAAGCACAGAAGGCCACCCCCAAGGCGTGGATATCATGCTCATGCACGAGTACCATGACCTTATATCCCCACCAATCCTTCCGCACTACCGACCCTCGTCCCCTCACTCTGGCAACTCCTTCTCCAAGGTCCTCCTCTACCATCTCGTCTTCATCATTGATTTCCTCGGCCTCCACCTCGCCCTCATCCAGCTCTTCCCGTCTATCGGCCCAATCGTCCCACAAGGGATCATCTGGATCCTCGCCAACCGACCAGCCATGACTGAGGCCCCCCGACTCGTCCTCATCTCCATCGGGTGGTGGAGGTCTTGCGGATGGGCCAGACGCGGATGATTCTGAATCGGTCGCGGCGGACGGATCATCTCAAGGATGACCACCCGAATCTCCACCGGCAACTCCGCCGGACCCTGATGCACTGCCATATCTCGGAGGCTCTCTCTCGTCAAAGCCAACGGGAAGACGGTGAGTCTCTTCTTCGTATCCAGGGCATTGACTAGTGCCGTTTGCCTTTGGACAGAGCTGGATGAATACACCGGCGTCCCGAAGGCTGACTTCTCTGTATTGTGTGCCAGTGAAGTAGCGCACCCGGTGGAAGGGGTTGGCCATATGCCTCTTCCGTAGGCAGGTCGTGCAAAGATCCTTATCTCGCCTGCAAGTGTCGCAATGCCACAGTCCACCGTCAACCTTTCCACACTCCGCACAGTCCATCACATTCGGCGGTCCAAGGTATTCAATGATTTGGTTCGCATATGTCGCAGCGACATTGTTCTGGGCAAACTGGGCCATTTGTTCAACATTTGTCTATAAGACAGGTTAGTCAATTGATATTCGATGCAAAGCGGCCAGTAGCTTACATTTCTCGTCGGAGGCCGATAATTCTTCCGAACATCCTCTCGCATCAACTGCGAGGTGCGCAAGCTCCCATCCATACCCACAGGCTGATCGTCAGGCAAACCATCGTACAAACTTGTTGTAGGCCCAACCCTCTCTTTGAAACGTGAGAAGGAATATCCGCCAGCCATTGACCTTGCCAAGGCACCTCCGTCATTACTGCTTGTGACCCGATCTTCTCCGGCTCTATGACTTATGCCTAGTTGTTGCTGTCAGTACAACAGAATCTCAACATTCACTTGGTACCACCTACCTCCCGACGACCCAGCATGCAAATTATTTTCGAGAGGTGTGTCAGGTTCCGAAGCTTTCAAGCCACGGATGGGTAAGGTAAAAGTGCCTTGTATTCTCCTCTTCTTCACAGGCTGAGGAGGCTGAGGAGCTGCCTCTATTGTGGCCTGGTGTGTGGTACGCTTGGTTCGCCTTGCAATAACTTGATTGAAGTTACGCGTATTGTTTGTTACAGAAGACTGTAGCTGCGAGTCTTCGTCGATAGGCATCACAATGAAACGTGTTCAAAAGGCGATGATGTGTTTCGAAGCAAGATGGAGCTCCTTCTGGAAAGCCGTTACGGAACCTGCGCACGTGACAGTCTTTCCCCCGAAGGTCCTGTCCATCACGGACATCTGGCAGAGCTGACCGGACGCGGGCCTCCGTCAGTGATCTCAACATGATTTGATGCATCTGTCCTCTCACAACTTTGCGTGCAGCATAAAGTTACGAACTATCCACGTCATCTTTGGACTGTACAGGTCTGGGAACCTCTGCTGTAATCAAATACTCAACAGCTATTAGCCATGAGTGTTCCATACAACTCTGCATCAAGAATATAGCCCTCCCTTCCGAGATTTAATCTGACTACCAATCACTGTGCCCAAGGTTGAAGGGTGCTTCACTCTCAAGATATTACAGCACAATCCCAGCATGCCTAGCACCCTTCGATCCCTTTATGAGCTCGATCCACGAAGTCTCCGGGTGACGAGATGGGATTGTGCAAGATTTGGCCAAGATGCGAAGTTGGATGTATATGGGCTCGTACATGCCAGTGGGATGGTACTTTTGTGTACTTTCAACTTATAATGAAGCATACTATGCCATCGTGATTTACGGTGTATCCAACGAGCCCTAATGTGCTACAGTCGTACTGCTACAGGGCATATAC